ATCACCAGTGTGTGAATGGGTGGATGACTGGACGTGTAAAGCGCTTTGGGGTCCTTAGGGACTAGTAAAGCGCAATACAAATACAGGCCATTTACCATAAATTGTGAATTCCAAGCTAGAAAACTTGCACTTAGCTGATAACCCCCTGGTACATATATGGCCACATCCAGTCAAAAGAATAATATTTTTTTTAATAAGTTCAAGGCTTTAATATGCAGGTGGATGACATGCATGCATCTGTTTATGTGATGCTTTATTTATACATGTTTAGCCTGACCCCACAGTTTTGCAGCTGTCGCTGATAGAATCGCCGATGCTTTTTAAAAGATGGAAATTTAAAACAAAACAGCGTAGCCCTTAATGGGCTAAGATTACGAGCATAGATATAGAGGCATGACACCAATTTACATATGTGAGCAAATGTGGCTTGTTTTAAGTAAACAAGAGTAGTAGTGAGTACTCCCAGCTGGATGTAGTGCAAACATCTGGGATGCTTTTGTTGCTGTTGTTGCTTCAAAATTTTACACTCCATAAAGAACTTTTTTTTTTTTCTCATGACACCCAGTTTCCTCTGCACCAAAGACAGGTGTGGACATCACACCCCTTCCTTTAATAGTGAACAGTCTGTACTGAAGCTCTCAGGATCACCAAGTGACACTTGACAGGAGGCACAGCTGACTCTCGTCTCTGCATCATAAACTATTTATCACTGCTGTCTTCCAGTTCATGTTGTGTTGGATTCGATGGAGTGTACTCCATTCTTCCTCGGGTATACTGCAGGGCACAATGAGGTCAGATATGACATACCTGCTGGATCCCGGCAGGGATTTTATCTGCTGTCGGTCTATGCTTTGACACTGTTTGATTGATAGGCTTCCTTCTCCTGCAATCCTAAACCTTTTATCTCTGGTTACTGATTGACACACTCATAAATGTGTTTTGTACAAAATTTCACATTTCATGGGAGCACTCCAGCATTTTGCCAAATATATTTGTTTGCGCTCGCTCTCAGTCAGATTGCTTCATTTCTATTACTGGAAGCAGGTGCACGCTGCAAATAAAGGAAGCCCAGTCTCATTTGCATGTTGTGTTATGCTTATTTAACGCATGTAGGAACAGAGCAGCATTTGTGCAAATATGGGGAAAAAACTTCAGGAATTTACATAAAGGAGTTTCTGCAGTGAAACCAAATTTGTCTTCGCCATAAACTGTAAAGGAAAGTTGATATACACCTAAGTATTCACCAGCTTTTGTCTTTTAAGTTCTCCGTTTTGAATTTGTGTTTCCCTTAATTTACATTTTGTCTTTACACACTTAATGCGTAAAGATTGTGTTACTCAAAACTGCTGTTCCACTCTCATTAACAGACACTGGCTATGAGTTTAGTTTGTTTGATTGTTCAGATTTGCAGAGTTCTATTTCTTAATCACAACCAAAAGAAACATTAAAAAATATCTTCACACTAGAAGCACTGAGCAGAGTGACAATATCATTTGGATACACACACTTGTCATTCATGCCATTTCATTCCTCCTCGGCCTCTTGATTCGTTCATTTATCTGTCAGTGAAGATGGTTTCACTTCCACACTGTGAAGGAAACACAGATGCTGCTCATACATCATTCTTACGTCTCTAACATGTTGGGATGATGGAGGTTTTTATATAGTGCTAACTGCATGAAGTTATGATTGCTTTGGGTCTTTAAACCCTGTGAGTGTATTTGTGTGGTTTTTGTAACTAGTTTTGTTCATTTGGGTCTAAATGTGGCTATCCATCATTATATGATCGTTTTGAGTCTCTTTAATGTTATTTTGTTGTGTGTTTTTTTTGGTTCAATTTCATTTTTTTTTATATATTTAAGGGCATTTTAAGCCTTCCCTTCAGAGTTTCACATTTCTTTGTGGTAATCTTAAACTATCTGATTAAGGTCTCTAATAGAGTCTCTTGGTGGTGTGGAGGGTCTTCTGCCCTGGCCAGGTCTGCTGTGTGTTTCCGCCTGTTTGTCCCTCCGTGCTGCCTTGCAGGTTTCCAGAAGCATAGTTAATCATAGCAATTGGAAACACCTGGACAGTCTCCCAGGAGCGTGTACGCTCTCTCTCCACTCACCCAGCGTTGTGCTATTTGTTTAGTTGGCTGTGGCTTGGTTATTTTAGTTTTTGCACCACACAACACCGCACACCTAGCATACAAATACTCATCCTCCTGACACGCTGTTAACACTGCCTCACACATCCCATAAAGATTATCGCAGTTTCTGCTTCTTTTATTAAATAAATTAGAAAGTTCTAGTTAATTATGTGTCTCTTGCACCATTTCCCATGATTACAAAGGCTTTTCTGTGCTTACCGTGAGTCTATTTGTGCTTAGTGTGCATGTGATTAGATCACTCTGCTCGCTGCAGAGCTCTTATCTTTGCAAGTTTTCATTGTGCTCTTGCAACGTGGCCTGGAATCATGCAACCTTAACTGAAGGTTATCTGGTGCACTGTAACAGATTTACTGTTAAACTCAGGTACATATGTTTTCAACTGTGGTGACAGTAAACAGCATTTGGGCAGAAGTTTCAAATAGCAAGGTATGGTTATGCAAAAGAAAGTCAAAGGCTTAGGCTTCACTGCTCTAAACACTCAATTTCAGTAATTTTTTTCTAATCGTAGGTCTGTGTGATGTCAAGCAGAGAGGGTTTTCTTTAACATGGTCATTGTTAAAGACCATTGTTTGGGCCTGTTTGTGAAGGGCAGCCAATTAGAGGAATGTTACCTTAAAGAGAGAGTGGCTGTAAAGAGGCAGAAGCTGAAAAAAGCGGGGTTATTTCAGAAAGAGAATGAAGATAAAAAGTATCATTTTAAAAAGTTAACAAGAATAACTTAGCAACAGTCTCAAAATGCAACCAAGCAATAATTTGGGCAGCTCTGCTAAAGCAATCTCTAATAATAAACTTTAATTTCATACATAAAAGCTGAACATACAGAAACATTGGCCAGTTTTGAAAAAAACAGCTTAAAAAATACTGATATTTGCTGTCATAACCCCACTAAGTTATACTCTGTCATCATCTTTGTAGTCACTGAATTCAACAGCAATTCAAAATTTCTTTGAAGTTTAAATAACGGCATCATGCAAAGCAGCGATAGCAGTCCAAGAACAAAGACATCGAGCTGGAATTTAGTGGGCATCCAATCACTGACACTTGAGCTGATGCATAAACTATAAAACAAACACTGCAGCGCCCTCCTGCGGCCAACTAATTGCATTTTCTGACAGTAATTAAGTGGCATCTGAGACATTGGGAAGATGCATTCACAGTCGAAGGAAAACAAAACCATCTATTCTCTCTTTGAAAATAAACAGTAATGTGCTACATATTTATATATTACTGGGGCATTTTATTGTTGGGATTGAAATAAACCTTCCAAATGTGACTTTATGAACTTTATTCGTATTGTTTTTATTATTTTATGAAATCATAAGTGTAGATTTGTGATTATCGTGTTTTACTGTGCTGCGGGTGATGACAGCTTCAGATACTGTGAGCTGTCATTCAGTCTGTGTGGTAGTTTGTGAAGCGGGCCTGATGCTCCGGTGCTCTCCGCCACACTGCGGCTGGCTGGCGCTCTGACAATGACTTGCATGCTGATTATTGTGGAGATCGACAAAGGAGACAAGGAAACGAGGAGATGAACCGTTTCCTGAGAGCTGGGGAGAATGGAGGGCTGCTGACAGACTGCAAGGAGCTGTCACCCAACCACACCGCCGCCTTCTCCTCCTCTTCCTCCTCCTCTGTCTCCATCACCTCCTCCTCCTCCTCTTCCTTCAGTGCCGCTGGCTCAGCCGACAGACACGCGGCCCTGCCCTCGCTCCAGACCCGGACACCTGGCGGCGGCGGGTCGGAGCCGAGGAGATCCGCGCTTAAGCGTACAGGAGTCGGCCGGGAGGGACGGGAGGAACCGGAGGCGGCTTCGGCGGATCACTCATCAGCGGCTGCTGTCGTGGTGCGAGGCGGCGGAGAAGCGTGCTTCGGGATCGGCAAGCAGCAGCAGCAACAGCGTCGGGAGGCTCAAGGACGCAGCGTCGCTGAAGAAGGTCTGGAGATGATTTCAGCGGTCAGCAGAGAGGCGGACGGTGGCGGCGGGAACGGAGTCTCCGAAGTGACCGCTCCTTCTGCGTCATGCGCCAAAGGCAAGGAGGAGAGAAAGGGGAAGAACATGATCCGGGGCTGGAAGAGGGAGCGAGACAGGGAGAGGGACGCCGCTGCTCCTCCTGCCCGAACGAGGAAGGAGAAGCCCGGTGGTGATGGCTCGTCTCCTCCTCCTCCACCTCCTCCCTCCGTCTTCCTCCCGTCGTCCGCCCTGCCTGCTCCCGAGCATCATCTGTGCCGCGACGGCTCCGGACACTGCCTGTGCGCCGCTCCGGACTCCAGGCTCCCGGGAGATATCAGCAACGTAAACAATAACAACAATAGTAACGGTGCCGCCGCCGTCAGCACCGGGAAAACCGCGCTGGAGTGTGGAGTTAAAACCGGCGCTATTGTTGTGAGACGGCAGCAGGACGACACGCCGGCCGCCAAGAAGCACAGAGGAGCCGAGAAGGTGAGCCTGCTTTTATTGTCTGGGGGGGAAACAACAATGCAACACGGCAACAAAAGAAGAAGCACACCTGCAGGAAGCTGCCTTTAATTTAGCCTAACGCGGAAATAAAAGGAGGGAGGCGGTCAGTCAGATGCAGGTGTAGAGGCCACAAAGGAGCAGCAGACACTCAGAATGGTTAAATGCTGCCACATGATATTTATTTGCCATTGTTGTTGCCCAGCTGGTGTCATTGTTCCCGCTCTCTGTGTCTGTGTTGATGTTTACCAGGCTGAGATTTCCTTTTTCTTTTTGGAGGGAAGATGAAGAAAAAAGGAGGAGGAGGAGGGAGGAAGCAGCAGCAGCAGCAGCAGTGTGTCCTCCATCTCCATCCTCCTCCTCCTCCTCCTCTTTCTAGAGCCATTTAATCCAGTGCTCCTTGTTTTTCCTGGAGATTAGAGGAGAAGGCATGTGCATCAAGAACTCAGCAGTAAAGGGAATTAAAATGTGATGCTGTAATATAACAAAATGGCAAATGTCATTGTCCATCACGGTGAGAGCAACAACAAAGTCACATTATTTCATTCAAGTGGACTTATTATGCTTTTCACTATATCTGTCAGGTGTTGACTGCTTATATGCAAAAGTTTCAGATAATGACATCAGTGTGTTTACAAGTAGCTCCTGTGAGCCAAGAGCTATAAATGCTGCATTTAAGATACTTTGTTTTACTGTTTCTGCATGATGTCATAAAGAAGGGTCCTTAATACCACTGATTTAGGCACACAAGCACAACTCACCTTCTGTTTCTGAAATGCAGCCAATCGGTTGAAAGTTGGCTTAAAGGGGGAGGGGCTAAAATAACTGGTTAAAGAAAAGGCATAGTATAAGATAAAGAAGGCTTAGTTTAACCTTCCAGAAGCATGTCTTTAAGTCTGGCAGCTTCTAGGCAGCTATTGTAAAGCTTTATCTAAATCAACTTGAATTTCGTTGTTCCCCTCAGGTTAAGGCTTGCTTTTGGCCCCGGTTTTCAATTTTCTTGGTTGGGGTTTGAGGAGTTTCTTTCTTTTACCTGAAAGTACTGGTTTTAAATAATCCTTCCCAGGTGCACCACCAACTTAGGAAAACACAGAATAAAAATTAGCCTCGCCTTGACATCCTCCTTTTTGTTTGCTTAATTCATTCAGGAAGACACTCAGGATATCAAATATAATCAGGCTTTAGAGCGAGGGTCACATCCTTTTAAAATAAGGCGTAAATACTGCGGGTTGACAGGTCGGATTGCTGAGGTTTAATGAGCCACTCCCGAGCCGGTACAGCGACCTAGCGGGAATGGTTGGGAAATCATTTTTTGGAGGGTTTTGAATAAGTCATCCAGCAGAGAGGAGATGGAGGGATGGGTGGAAAGGTAAGATGGGGACAGAGATGTCTGATAGAGAGGGAGGAATGGGATGTAACAGCAGAGGACATGCACTTAAAGACAAAGACACAAAAAAGAAGCAGATGGAGTATCTCCAGAAGGTGTTTTTTTATTAGTTTTTTAGAAACATACATGCAGGATTAACTTTATGAGGCAGGAAAAACTGAAGCTTCCTCCTGCTGCTGGCAGATGCTGTTGACAGGAGGAACGCTGGTCTGCAATGGCTGCTTTGTTTATTTGTTGATCTGAAGGATTCCCATTCAGCAGTGAAACACACACACACACACACACACACACACACACACACACACACACACAGTCTGTGGAGGCTGTAAGTCATTTCCTGTCAACAGGAATCTGGACTCCACTCGGCAACTGTTGGGTGTCCTATGATTATAGAGAGGCTAAAACCCTGAAAATTGGGCTAATTTGATATTATAATGGAAATCAATCAAGTTTATTTCCATGAATGGGTCTCTGTGGGTCATCCTGAGTTTGCACTCTCCACATCTGCTTTAGAGAATCAGGGAAATGAGAAAGTCACACTATGCACAAATTAGTCATATCATTAAGCACGTCTGACCTGTCGGGGCAGGGCCATTGGACCTCTGCTGGCAGCGGATCCTTTGGGTCCTGCAGGTTGTAAGGTGGGGCCAATGCAGATCACGCTCACTGGGAATGGGATGTGAAGAGTGTGCAGCCAAACTGTATGTAAAGATGGACATAGCCACTGTGAGGTCACACATAAGTTTGCAAAGTCCTGTTACTGAAGCATTGAGCAGAGCATTTTCACTGTTCTGCGTCTGCTTCGTCTGGAGGTTTCATCCTGTTAAAAGGGAGTTTTTCCTTCCCACTGTCGCTAAGTGTTTATTGGAGTTTTTTGCCTGTATTATTTTCTCTGTCTTTGCCTTATAATATAAAGCACCTTGAGTTGAACTGAATTGGACCAAAGTAAATTTAATTATGATTGTGCATTTTTGATGGTGTGACTTGTCAATCATAAGATAAGAACATAGCTTCTGGTCCTACTAGACGCTAATGGTAGCAACATAACTGTAGTGATCTCACCCAGGAGTTCCTCATTTGAACTGACTTCATTTTTCTAGGACTGGAAAATAATGTCAACACAAGTGCTAAAAACTACAGTTCCATTAATGGCCACTTGAGGCTTGCTCCGAAACAATCCATGCCCTCATTGACTTTCATTTGAAAATGAACCCAAAAAACACACATTCACAGCCTGATACAAAAACCGGTGTCAGCTTCTATGGATAACATCCCCCTTCAGAAAACAGCCTATGGGTCATACATTTGGGTTTTGTTTAGGTTAAAAGTTAGGGACATGGATTATATGACTGGCAGGTGTGCTGACACAGGTGGCTGTGTCTACTAACTGTCTGTCGGGCCTCACTTCTGATTATTTGAGTCACTGAACTGGACTTCTTGACTGCATTTGTGTGGTTGGTGCCTTTGGAATCATTTTTGAAGCCTGCTGCGAGGTTTCCAATAAATCTTTGCTTTATGTTTTGTTTTGGGAATGCAATTTTATTAGTCTGATACTTCCAGCAGTACTTATCAGCAGATATTTGTGTCTTTGCTTTGCATCCATACAGTTTGTGGATGCAGTTTGCTGCCCTTAGCTATAAAGTTCCACCCTCTTACCCGACACCAACACAGCAGTGGGCCACACGTACAGCCTATAGATACTGAACTAAGCTTCAAGTCTGACATGATGGATTCCTTTGTGAATCTTGTGTAAATTCAGCGGCCTTCTAATGATATGAACAAGCTGTCATTTATGTACTATTTTACAGTTTTGATTAAGAAGAAGTAAAAATAAATAAAAAATTTTTTGCTAATGCTTTTTTTCACCCAGGTGAAAATTTCACTAATTAAGCTAAAGGTGCTTAAGGGATTACAGACTGATTGCACAAGAGTTTCAAGGGCGTCTGCAAAGCTCAAATGCAATTATTCATTAAAATATAAATAACATGTGTTCTCACAGCTGTATGACAGATGACTGATGGTTTTCCCCTTAATGTCGTCTACATGAACCCTTCCTACACCTCAGTGGATGAATGCACCACTAGCTTCGGTGTCATCATGGTCTTTGCATATGAATTTAAAGCCGAACAAAAAAACACCACAGCCACTGCAGAAATATCCAGTTTCATTCACTGCAGTCCTCCTGCTCTGACATGTTTCCTTCACTTGAGCCCCACAAACTGAGCGTTTGTCATCTGCGGCTTTTAAGTTTAGCCTTCAAATCAAATGTCTCCAGTATCTCGAGACTTGGTGTTTAATTATTACTCTGGAACCAAACACAGATTTTTGGGCTGCTGCACCTTTTGGAAGTTAATCTGGTTAAAATTAATGGAGGCACAATGAGAATGAATGATGTATGATGCATCTAATTTAAATGGAATCAAAATTGGATTAAATAGTTACGCCCTGCTGACGAGAACAACTGTGGAAACAGTGAATACATGGAAGAGCTTGTACTTGTGCATAGAGCTAATGAACTACAGTCAAATGGAAGAAGATTATACAGAACCATACATTATGAATGGTGACAGTACTGAAGAGCCTTCTTTTAAACTTGTTTTTGAAATATGAGTATTGCTGAAGATTTAATCAATTTTGTATTTTATTTTCTCTTCTCCAATTTAGAGCTGGCTGAATATCCTGTAGGTTTTTTCGGAGAAAATTCGATATTCTAACATAGCAACTGATATTTTCGTTTTTCTATCAGACACACGAAACATGAGCGGATTTCCTAAACCTTTGTCATGTGTAGTTATGCAGTAATCTATTAGATACAAACCTGACACTGTTCATAACAACTACACTGGAGAAAAGTTATTTATAAGGCTTTAAGGTAGGGATGATGAATATGTGGCTGCAGACACAGGGAGCTGTAGCTAATAGCTATCTGGTAGATGTCCCATCCACCAGTGACTCTACTGGACCTCCTGCTCATGCTTCTTTATGCAACTGTCTGATCAATAATAGAGCTTGTTGTCTGCTTAATTGTACAAACATATTGTACATGATGTTTTTAATTCAGTTTTAGGGTGTAGGATTCTAGTATTTTTTTAGTCTTTTTCTTAGCTTACTAATTAGCAGGTATATAAGAATGCACATTGCTAGTTAGCTTAACACTTCACTCTCTGTCCAGTAGTCACTTTTGTCTCCAAACATCCTAACATGGTTGTGGTCTACACGACAATGTTGAGGTTCCAAAGTACAGAGTCCAGAAAATGATTGGTCTATAACAGCGGTCCCCAACCTTTTTTGCGCCACGGACCGGTTTATGCCTGACAATATTTTCATGGACCGGCCTTTAAGGTGTCGCGGATAAATACAACAAAACAAAACTAGTACCGGTACCAAAAAAAAGAAAATTTACGTGAAAAGACCAAGGAAAACCGAGTAAACGATAAAAACAATAACAAAATAACACTGAAAACCGATAAAACCCCTGAAAACTATACATTTCACACCTGAGCTTCAACTCTCCCGGCCCGGTACCAAATGACTCACGGACCGGTACCGGTCCGAGGCCCGGGGGTTGGGGACGGCTGGCCTATAATGTCTATAATGC